TCCTCCTCCTCCTCCTCCTCCTCCTCCTCCTCCTCCTCATCCGTCTCCTCGGCCTCCTCGTATTCCCTCTTTTCCACCCTAGAAGCATCGTTCACTGATTTTCTCGAGATCGCAACGCGTTTTAGCTTCTCAAAATTCTCTTTCTGTTGGTCCTGTTGTTCCTTTTGATCGTTCTGACGGCTCTTTGCGTCCAGGGCCACTGACATCAACGGCGAAGTTAACATCCTTATCTGCACCTTCTCCTCGCTCTCGGCTACTTCCTGCAGCATCGATTCACAATTATCCTGCTGCTTCTGAATCACATGCATATCCTCCGTGCGCATAGACATCATAAGTGGACCTTGCTGTCGCCGACGTCTCTTGCCGCTTCCACCTGCTGCCGAGGAGCACTGCTCCGCTTCCTCGTTACTCTCGTTTTCACTGTCCCTCTCGTTATTATTATCTTCTTCCTGCTCCTCCTGACCGTCGTCGTCGTCGTCGTCGTCGTCGTCGTCGTCGTCATGGCCGTAGTCGTAATCGTCCTTGCCCTCGTCACCGATGTACAAGGGCAGATTCTCTTGCGATACGTTATGCCTCTTCCGCACTGAGCGCTCGTTCCCACCATCCGCGCGCCACTCTCTCGATATGTGCGCGCCTGTCGATGGCTCGTCTTGGTCCATCCTGTCGCTCCGAAAGTTTTTCAAAATTTCGTCTCTTCGTCGGTCCTCGAGACGTTCTTGCTTTCCGCCGTGTGCTTCCCGATTTTCTCGAATATTCTCCTCCAGACTGTGACAATGATCGTGCTCCAGAATGAATTCGCTTTTGCGCGGTTCCTCTTCTCGCTGATAATGCTGATGCTGGTGATGACGATGTTGTTGACGGCATCGTTCTTCCGGTTGTTGTTGACGATGATGCTTATGACGATAATCATGATGACGGGAATGACGATGATGATGCTGATGATGACGACGACGACGAGATGATGGAAGAAGAGGAGGAAGAGAAGGCGGAGGTGTTGGAGGTGGAGGAGGTGGAGGAGGAGGAGGAGGAGGAGGAGGAGGGACAGGGAGCCGAGGGGTTTCCTGATGCTGTCGGAGGCAGGGGTCCTCAGTGCGATCCTCCTGCGATCGTGCGCTTCGGCAGGAGCCTTCAGGAGGGATACGGCGGG